CAATGAAAATTGAGATGTATCGATGAATTATCATCATATTAAACCGGGTCAAAATTCAACAGCATAAAATCAAATATAAAAATGAATTGACGTTCACAATTATGCGATTTATTCATTTAAAAATTTACACTTGTGTTTTCGTTTGGATTAATATTTCACCACTGCATATTAATTCAATTTCAGTCCTTTTTTATTTATTCATCAGTAGGTGTCTAATTCATAATACAAAATTTGTTGACGTTATACATGTCAAACGACTGCCAAAACATATGAAATGAAATCGGAAATGACAACGGCATATGGTCTTATTTAAATACCTATAAATCTGAAATTTAGTAATTTTTTTCCTTGGAGTGAAATAACCGATAAGGAAGTAACTAGCAGCCCTTTTCTCTACAGTTTGTAAGTTGAATTACGGTTGGATACACAGATTCAATTTTTCAACCAAAATAAAAAAAAAATTGAAGACCGATCTCAATTTTTTAATAGCAATACAAATTTGTGAACAGGCCATAAAACATGGACCTCCGGAAACTCCAGAGATTGAATCCGTTGACTAGGAGGAGTAAGCTCCCTTTGTAGTCCGGTCACACCTACCTTAAAACCCCATATATTTATAAGGTAGACGGAGTAATTTCGTATAAAACAGTGGACTAACAATTGGTGTGAAAAATGCCAGCAATAATATGACCCAATGATAGGTTGTATTTGCAAACAATGTTATTATAACGACCATAAAATTTTCGAAATGCTGACTTTAAATGGGGTTATTGAAATTCCTGTGACATCTTCCTTTTTTCAGTAGCCTGCCTCGATGTGAAAATTGATCGTACTCACAGCATGTTCTTGCTTATCGAATAAGTTAAGAGACACAAACACCATATGCAGGCGATAGTGGAATATTACTACGAAAATAAAAGTTGGTTTTACAACACTATATACAGCCATTCCCCACGATAAACTAAAGACAAGGCCATTTGACATTATAGAAAATTGTTTCTTTAATAAGAATGGAACTCACTAATTTTCATATCTTGTCATTCTCTGATTCTACACACAATTAAACCCTAAAGTTGATATTTAAAAGATGCTTAAGTTCCACATTGACAACATCTATGTAGTCTTTGGAGATCAGGTTTTCCAATAATTTGTCGGAATTCCCATGAGTACCAAATGTGCTCAACCATTAGCAGATCTATTTATTTTTGCATTCTTATGAAGCATTTTTTTTAAAAAAAACTTTAATTTACAGTCTCTCTTGCTGTGGCCTTCAATTTGACATCTAGATAATATTGATGACGTTTTATCAATTAACAATACTGATTTTCATTTATACATAAGTCGCCCGCGTGGTGCAGTGGTTAGAGCGTTTGCTCTAGAGTCGCGGTCTAAGGAGTTGATCCTTACGTCGCGAGTTCGAATCCACTGCGGGACGTGGAGATCGGTCCTTCGGATAAGACCGTATAAACCGAGGTCCCGTGTCGCAGTAGGTGTTGGCACGAAAAAGTTCCCTCACTGCTCAATGACTCTGAGTGCCGAGCATAGGTATAAATTTGCAGCCCTCCACTGGCAAGTGGTGGCATCTCCATATGAGTGAAAAATTCTCAAGAGGGACGTTAAACAACAAACAAACAAACAAAACATGTATACATAGATTTGATGTATCCAATTGAACTCGAAATAAAAGAAATGTTGCCGAGTCTTGTAATTCTGCTTCATATTTGGATATTTTACTGGACAAAGACATCGATGGCAAACTAACCAAAAAACATGACGATAAATGTGGTGACTTCAACTTTTCTATCGTCAACTTCCCTTATTTATATAGCAATATACTATTATCACCTGCTTATGGGGTTTATGTCTCCTTGTCGATTGTATAAGCATAAGTATGTTCTTTGTATGAATAATTCCTAAAAACAGGGAGGGCTACCGACAAATTAGTTGATGATACAAAGGTATCTTCAATCTCATTTAAAGTCAACATTTCGCAAATTCTATGGTCGATAGAATGACCTTGTTTACAAATACAATCTGTCATTGGGTCGAATGTTCATTGACGTTTTTCATATAAATTTTTGGGCCATTTTTATCATACCGAATTGACTACGGATTTCTCCAATTACCGATCATGACAAAGGGCACTCGGAGGGTGTGACCCGTCGAGAGGAGATGCTTACTTGACATCATATCCTACCTCCGATGTTTTCAGAAGTCTGTGTTTGTTTTGTTCACAATTTGTATTGTTTTATTGGACTTTTCAGCATAATTATTGTTCGTTATCTTCACATTTTGTGGAAAAGTTGAAGTTATCTCGTTTGTTCTACATTTTAGTTATTAGTTGGCTATTACCGTATATTGACAGTAAACCCAAATATTAAACAGATGTGACAGACTCTGTGGTGTCATTTATTTCGAAATCACTGGGGTATATCGAGTAGGCAAATGAATGAAAATAACAACTGTAGAGTTGAAGGCCACAGCAAGAAATTTTTGTTCTCGTGTAAAAGTTTTTGAATAAATTTTGCTTCACGAGAATACAAAAAAATATGCTAATAATGAGCACAGTTAGTGCCCAACGAAGCCCAACAGTTTGTTGGAAGACAAGGTCACCAAAGACTACACAAATATTTAAGAGGAACTCCAGCATCTTTTCGATATCAACCTCAGAGTGCAATGACCAATCAGGAGATACAAAAATTTCCGAGTTCCATTTTTAAAGAAGTATTTGTCTATATGATATCAAAAAGCCTAATCTTTGATTTATCGTCAGGAATGGTTGTATAAAATGTTTAATAATTATACGTTCTGGTGCTAATGACTTAGGAGAAAATTGTGTGATTTTAAATTTTCTAATTGTTCGTAGACTTTTTTGAAAATCCACAATTGATTTTACACCACTTTTTGAATAGCACAGTAAGTCTGGAGTTTCTCCTTCACAGCAGTTAATATTTTTGTGAGGAGTCAAAATAGGGGATTGGTAGAGCACTTGCTTGAACCTGCTTGCATCTTTGTTTGTAAGGACTTTAACAAAATTAAGGAATCCAGTATAACATGTAAGGTAAATCGAATTAACTTTCGTTGATTGGAATGTTAGAAGCAATAAAGACTACGTGATTTTGAAGAATTTTCTCCTTAGAAAGTGAATCGAGTGTATAAGCTGTATAAGTCGATAAAGAGATCCTGTAGATGGACATTCGCATAGTTCTTCTGTAATAACTTTGGTCAAAGATGACCATGAAAAAAGAAAGATATTATACTATGTACGTATTAAACAACAAATAAATTACAAATCTGTTCTGGGTGCTATTGGTTTGCTGATTTCAGTCCGATATTTTTTATTCTAAAAGAAATTCAAACTAAAACTGACAAATATATTAGAAGATACATATTCATATATTTACGTTTCCAGTGTCTTTGTCCGAGATAAAATTTCAAATAGTAAAAATACTTTATTTCTACATAAATCTACTGGTTCATCGAAAGGCGTGGTGAAAAAAAATCACGTGCGGGGCGGGACAAATAGAGTCAGAAGCAGGGCTTGTAGCACGTGACTTTGCAGAATCAAGAGCATGTAAATATAAGGAATAACTGTCAGATTTTTTGGTTTCATGACGATGATCAATCGATTGGCTTGCGTGATAATTTTATGCATAAACGCCTTCGGCGTTTATGCAAATTATAACGCAAGCCAATCGATTGATCACATCATGAAACCCAAAAATTAGACAGTTATTCCTTAAATAAATCGTTTATAACAACTTCTAGATCAAACTCAGGGCAAAACCCTGTAGAGGGTGTCAGTATTCAACAGGGTCAAATTTCAACGTTGATGTTATAAATGCCAAAAAACAAAATTACCAAGCTGTTGAAAAATGATCCCGGGTATGAATTTCACGACTTTTGGTGTCAATTTTCAACGTTGAGAAACCACCCTCGGTTCAATATTCAACGTTGAAAAATGAACCCCCGCCCGGTCAGTTTTTAAAAAAATGTTTATCCACTCAATCATGCACATGTTTAATGACGAAAAAGAAACATGACAGTTATAGAAAAGAAATGTTAGCAATCACACTTGAGAAGAAGTTGAAATGAAATTGTTAGAATTTAAAAATAATGCTTTTTTTTTTTTAACCAATCCCGACTGAAATAAATGCATTCTCAATCCGACATTAAAAATAGAAAAATTAATACAATATAATATATATTTTAATTTTTAAAACATATTGATTTCATAGTTGCAACTGGATCAAATTCAGCAGTAATTCATATATATATATATATATTTTATTTTAGGCGTATTAGAATGTGCTTTAGGAAAAATGTGCTTTAGGAAAAATGGACAATATTAGAAATGAGGGGAGGATTTTTTTTTTTCATTTGCCAAAACTCCATTTCGTGAAGGGGAGGGGGCAGGGGTAGTTATAAATACCACCAGTCAAGCACTGGTTACCTATTTTGTAATCTTCCCAGTTAAGGACAGGTTATTTATTTCCAAAATATAACCCCCACCCCCGAATCAAATGGTCGTTCCCTAGAGTCCAACGCCGCTGATTTTGAAAGAGTACCTATGCTGTTATGTTGATGGTTCCTTTTTTTTTTAATTTGGCAAATAGTAAATTCATCAATATAAGGCTTATATGAACCAATTTTTATGCCTATAATTTTATTTGATATCTGGAAAAATTATATGCAAAAATGTAACGCTTTTCAATTTCGCGGTTTTTAACTTGAGCACTGTTTTGCTGCTATGCAACTTCGCTGGGGGTAAAGAAGCCTAGACCCAGTGCGAGTATTTTATGACTACACCAAAACAAAATAAATCTTTAAAAGATTAAAAAAATAAAATCATATGAAATGCTTATGCCTCAAATACTATAAAATTATGCATTAACTAAGTGATGCTGCAAGTGCATAAATGAATTTTAAGGCGAAATATATCAAAATCTAAAGAATATTCATGTAGCATGATATATTCATCCGCCAGTTATTAGGTTTCACCAGAATTCAAGATGGCGGAGCTCGGAGCTTCGTTGACAGATATGAAGTGGTTGCACGAGTTGTCCGTTGGAGGGGCTATGACGGGTGGAAATGTGAACAAAGATGGAACTCAAATCTCAAAAGCTCATGGCGGACAAGTGCCAATGCGAAAAGCGCCAAATTCGCCACTGGACACAAGTGCAACCCTTGATAAAGACGAAGCGTCAAATCATAGAGATGGAAAACCCCCGTATAGTTACGCCAATTTAATTACATTTGCCATAAACAGTTCAAAACATAAGAAAATGACGTTAAGTGAGATATATCAGTGGATCTGTAACGAATTTCCGTACTACAAAGATGCTGGAAACGGTTGGAAGGTATGTGGTGTGCAATACAATACTATAGTCCGAGATTCCTCGGACATTTTTTTTTCATTTGTATGTAATGTGTGCACAATTTTATAAAGATGTAATATTGATCAGTCTATTGCGTAGGCTTTTGCTTTCAGGATGGTGTATTGTATGTTTTTCTATGTCTGTCTAAATGCACTCATTAAAATAAAAATCTAAAATCGCTGAAATTAGTATATTTCTGTATAAAAAAAACCCCACAAAGTTCACAGGCTCACCATCTTGAATTCTATGGGGTGCCACGATTCACACTTGATTTGGTTCAAACTTGATATTGTTCTATATCTACACTTTACCTACCAGTGTCGGGTGAGATCTAGTTAGAATAATCAAACTGTGTCTCGGGACAAGCCCTCACCACAGTTAGAATATGTTCCATATACTTGCAATGTAGCAAATCGGAGTGGATCCGCTCCAAAATGATTTTGAAGAATATAAAAGGAGTTGCACTGAAAATAACTACCAAATTAATCAAAACAAACGTTTTTGAGATTGTATATATATATGCCTTTTAACCTAAAAAATAATCCATACAAATAAGAAAATTCAACTCGTTTTCTCAACTTATTTCCCTCACTTCAAATTTACACCCCATGTTGACATTCGGAACTCTCTGGATTGTTCATAGAAAATGCACAGAGTTTGAATTATCACCCATGTTTATTTTGCTACATTGCCATTACACGGAACGAATTCTATCGTTAAACCGGGTCCGTAGGACAATATCATTTTAACGATAGAAATGTGCTATCTAGGTGAGATCTAGCTTATAAAACGATTGAATCCTGGAATTGTACGGAAAGTCTAGAGAGTAGAAGTTTGGCACAGTTTCTGACATCTTTACATATTAGAAATCATCACTTCTTTGCTTTCAGTTTCAGTGCTAGGTATCAAGGACGTTATGGTTTACTGCATGTTTTAAATGGGGTAATGACATACAATAAACCAGATTAAAAAAAATATCCATTGAAGAGTTACCATTCATAATTCTTAAACCTCTCCTAAAAGATGTTAAAAGGTACCTGGGACTTGTATACAATATCAGTCACTTCCTTGTGTGACTTTATTTGTATAGGTGTAATGTGTGACCTTATTAGCATGCATCGTCAGCTCAAGGCCCTCACTGCAAGTGCAATAATTGTGATTGGAACCAGAGCCATAAAATTGTGATAAAATCCTTGAAATGTCATTAAAAAAATATAATTAAAATCAGGATCATATTTAATAGAAATGGTTATGGTGAGTTATGTAATATTTGATTTAAAATAAATAGTTATGGAACAAAAGAACAATATTTATGTGGTTTTTAAATCATTTATTATAGGTTTGATATGTAATTTGAAATAAAAATCCTATCTTTTATTCTGAAAAAGGCATGGTTAAGATTCCAAGACCAATAATTTAGGGATGTGGCCTAAGTAAAAAATATTTTGGTTTACGGTTACCTGTCTGACCCCAAAAATTTGTGTGAACCATAATTTTTTTATGTACAATCAGGAAATTGCATATCCTTATGTTTTCCCTCAAACAGTACCAAGGTTCCCTATCACTTTGTTGTAAAAAAAAGTTGTTCGACCAGCACAAAAAAGTGGTTCCCTATCACTTTGTTGTAGAAAAAAGTTGTTCAGCATGAAAAAGTGGACTTCACAAGTGGTCAAACACTTTTTTTTCTTACTTGAACTTAATGCAGAAATAATAAAAAATATAAAAATTCTACCTATGGATCCTTTTTTTGTGACGCCTGCAGAGCAAAGCGACACTTAGGGATCATTTACTGAGTGTCTGTATGTATGTTTGTCTGTCCTTCTGTAACACCTTATATCTTGAGAAATATGTGAGTTATGGATTTGATATTTTGCACATATATTACTTGGCACTATGTCTTTTGTAAAATACCATGAATACTGACCTAGACCTTGACCTTTGACCTACTTTTTAAAATTGTTCATAGTGCTGATAATCAGATATACAGCATAAGTGCTCCTTGGAAAACTAGTTTATTATTTATAGCATTGTAATAGTAAACTTTTTTTTCTTAGGCCTAGATATTAATAGGTGTCTCATTACTGAGACAAGTAGAATCTGTATAAGGACAATTGAAAACCATAACATACTTGTCTATTTGGACACATGAAATTTTAGTTACATATAATTTCATAGCAAATCTTAATGAACAGCTGTTTCACACCAAATGTGATAATTCAGTTCATTATTTCAATGTATAACTTACATTTCAATGTGTAAAAATGTTAATGTTGCATAAATTATTAAGAATGATGCTTATGTCATGCATCACTTCTCAAATGTTGGATGCTGAATTCATTAAATGAAATATGTGGAAATATTGAACAGTATTCAAGATCAAAAGTCCATTAAACAATACAAATCAGGAGCAGAGCAAACACCTCTTAAACATCAGAGGTGGGATCAGGTGCAATGGAGGAGTGAGGATCCCTTGCCGACCGGTCACACCCGCTGTGTGCTCCTTGTCATGATCGGAAAGTAACGGAAAAAAACTTCAACAAATTCAGTGTGTAAATAATGGCCTAACAATTAGTATGAAAAATGTCAGTCAGCATTTGACTTAATGATAGATTGAATTTGCTGTCAAGGTAATTGTATCGACCATAGAACTTACGAAATGATGACTTTAAACGAGACTGCTGATATTCTTGTTTCATAAAAATAAACTATACATCAAAAAATAATTTGAATTAATAGGAATAAGGGTTTCAGATTATGCTTTCTTGACAGCAAGAAATATGGTACAATATTGATCTCCACCCAAATCAAAATTTTGTGAAATAAAATACCAGTAGTGTTAAGTTCTTTATGTACTATGCGTTCACTTGATTTGTACAACCACATTATGGAATGAGATTCAGGCAAGTATATTATAGAGTATTTTTCATAATACTTGTACAAAGAACAAGTGAAATATAAGGTTGACTTGATGTCTGTTCCTGAGGTATATATTGTACATGTATAACCCATGTAACCTTGTATTGTCTTAATGCCCCTTGCATATATGCCAGTTTCACCAGCAAGGTATCAAGTATACAAAAAAGTACATAAATTTAAAAAAAAAATTAAGAATTGAATTTAAGATGTCTCATCTCTGAGCAAATGTGTGGGATTTTATTATTATTTTTTTTTTTTTGAACTTTTAAAACAAGTCCATAAAATCTTTAAAATATTTTATAGTACAATTTACATGTTGATAGTGGCATTTTTTCTAATAACTGTTCTGAATTAAAACATGGATTGTTTGGTTTGAAGATGAAACCTCATTCAATCTTTTTTCTTTTCAGAATTCTATACGTCACAATTTATCTCTGAACAAATGTTTTTTGAAAGTACCAAGATCGAAAGATGACCCAGGAAAGGTAAGGGCATTGTTAATTACATAGTTTGGAATCTAATACGGAAACTTCCAGGGAGTGAAATGGAAATCTGTATTGGGCGAGGTAAAGCTGAGTCTCAACATAGATTTCCAGTTCACACTCTGGATGACTCCATATTAGGTCCCAAACTGACTGTGTAACAGATTTATCCTGCTGAAGACCTTTACAAAATTTGTTAAGAGTTCATTAAAATATATAAATAAGTATATAATTCAAAATATCATTGAACATCATATATTCTCAGTGTTACACCATCACAAAGATATAAACATAAAACTTCAACAAGCAGACCATTTGTTTACACCTAATTCATATGTAACAGAATCATGCACCCAGTGTTTAATCCAACCCCTGCTCATGATCAGAGACTATGTTATAGGAAATGTCAGGGCATCATATGATCTGTTTTTAGCCAATCAGTGGGCACACTTGTTTCAGATATTCGGGCGATGACCCGGTTCACTTTTATCACATGACATACTGACCCGGTTAGTGTCGCTGAAACGAGTGAAAATTCAGCCAAAAATGGCTGCTACTGTTATGGGTGCTGTTGCTGCAATAAATAATTTTCTCTGAACGGACGAGGACAACGATTTAGTTGATATATTTGCATTTTAATATTTTCTAGATCAATTCAATGCACAATCTCTTAATTTGTAGTACAGGGCCTCGTTACAAACAAAACTGAAAAGTAACTTTAAAATTATAAAAAGGAAGTGTTGGTCGTGCAAATATAAACGAACATTTCGTAAAAGTTACTTATGACCTCAGTACTGTATGTTTATTAAAATTGAAACTACTGAAAATGATAAAAACGAATATTTCATCATCAAGGAAATTTCTACCTCCGTTTTCCGCCATATTGCTTTTCATCTGGCCGCTTGAATTTTTTCGGGCAATCCGGGCTACTTTCTGACCGCCCGGCGGCTTAAAAATATTTGAAACAAGTTACTTGCCCGCTTCCGGAAGTATCTGCCGGCTTGACCCGGCTTATGAAACAAGTGCGCCCAGTGTTCCAAAAATTTGAATGAAACAGGATAATAATTTAACCACATGTAGTGTAGAACTAAACCTTTTGATTATATATGTAACAGTAGATTTAAAGATTTAAAAAAGAAAATGTATCCCTCCCTGGGCTCAATATTTACATGTTTATATAAAATGGCAAACAAGTATAATACAATCAAGAACTGTGAAAGGGTCCAGCAAGATTTATGTCTTAGCATCCTGTGGCATTTTTTATTTTTAATTGCAAATATTCAACAATATCGATTTGCTAGTCAGTCTGTCTGATGATGTAACTTGTCAGATTTCTTCTTTTGAATTCTTACCGAAGAATTTTTTAAAAACATTCTTCAATAATTAAGAATACCTGGTAATTATTTATTTTGCGCTATTTTAGGGGTCGTATTGGGCCATAGACAACAACCCTCCAGATGATTCCTTGCCATCTAGACACAAGAAACGGAAACTAATTAGTGGAGAATGGGTAAGAATCATTGAGTACATTTATAACCTGTGCTCAGCACATCATAAACATATTGTTTTAATAGATTTGAAAAGTATCAGTAACTAAACAGGATTATTGAGAATTATTGGCTTTCCTGGCAGTCCATTTCAACATTGTGAATATAATTATGAAATATTGCATTGTTATTTCAAATTGACCAACTTTAAATTTAAATTGATTTTGCATGTTACTTATTACAATATTCTTGTTTCAAATGGTAATGTGTTTCAAATGGTAAAGTTTTGTCATTTTATTTTTCGCAGTGTCAAATATCCTCTTTGTGCATGTATATTAAAGACTGAAAAATCATTTTTATTCTCCAATGTGGCCAAGGCAGAAGGAGAGTTTTTGTTCTGAAGGAAATGTCAATCATTTCATTATTTTGACTAGTTTGTGAATTGAAATTAATACAGTTTAGATAAAAATTCTTGATAGATCCATGGCATATGCTAAACACCTTGAAGCTTAATAATATCTATCAATATTCAAGGAATGCCATTTTCATGAAAACTAATTTTAGACCCTCCCCCCCCCCCTCTTTGAAGTACAGGAATGGAAACTGCAATAAGATATTTAGTTCATGTACATGTAAATAAAACAACAAAAATACTTGTACATAAATGTTAAATTGTATGAACAAGGATGTCAATACATTAACATTCTAGAGTACCGGTAATTTCTTTCATGAAGTGAAATCAGTATGACATGCATAACGGAGAAGTGCAAGGGACAACCAATTTTAATTCGTTATGTATTTTAAGTTCATGATACATTTTAAAACCATGGGGAGTAAAAATCACTTTGTTATAGTTGTGAATTCATTATATTAAGCATGTTTGTTATAACTGTGTTTTACTGTAATTGTAATTGGGAAGTCTGAACATTTGAAGATTACACAGAAATTTACATGTAGCATACAGTACATATTGTAAGTTTATGACATCACGTGATAATTTAAATACTAGTTTTATGTATAAGTGACATGAAATACTTTTTATTAGTTAAGGAATAATCATTTACATTTTAATTTTTAGGCCACATCGCCATACAGCCCGGAATCTGGTTTAAACTTGAACAACTCCAACAGTTTCAGTAACCCCCCTCTTTCTTCTGTCACAGTTCAAGTATCCCCAATACCAGCTCAGCAAGCAAGTCAGGTAATACCACCCAAACCACTTCATACTCCTAAATAACCTTGTAAATTAATTAGTTGAGATATAGCATTAAGTAAACGGATCAGCCAAATTTCAAAGGGAACTAGACCTTGAAAATGAAAAAAAAAACTTTAAAAGTTTAACAGATCAATTCGAACGGGTGTAATCATACCATATAAAAGGAAAATTAATCCTTGTCAAGGAAATTTATATTGTCCAAGTTTTCTGTTTGGGGAAAACTTACTGAAATGTTAACACCTTCAGTAGCAACATCTCAACACTGAAACTGTAGTCTTCCCAAATATTTTTAGTTACACAGTTAGTTTGTTAGAGTGTGAAATGGAAATTGTATTGGGCGAGGCAATGCTGAGTTCCAATACAGACTTCCATTCCACACCCTGGATGACTCTTTGTTAGGTAACAAACTAACTGTTTAACAAATTTATCCTCCTGAAGACCTTAACAAGATTTGTTTTGAGATCAGTAACATTATTTTAAAAAATTGTAATTCAGGATATCATTTAACATTATATATTCTCAGTATTACATCATCACAGTTAAAGATACAATAAATTTCAACAAACCAACCGTTTGCTCTGTACCATTTATTTACATCAGAAACTCTTAGAACAGAATCTTATGACCAATTTTAATAGATCCCCTACTCAGAGATGGTGTGTAAGAAAATTTTAGTGCATCGTGATCTGTTTTTAGCCAATCAAGATTCTACACATTTGAAGCATCATAAAGCAGTTTTACACGTACATGTATATGTACCATATAAGCAGAAATTTTAGTGAGGATCCAATTTTAGCATTATTTGCGAGGGTGTTGTGGTTTCTAAAATTGAATATTGCTAACAATTGAGATAGCATTGGGCATATCAGTTGCCTTACTTGTCCTCAGAAAATCATTAAAAATACTTCTAGCTAAAAATATATGCAGGTTTTTAGGAGAAATCACTAAATCTGCGTCTCGCTAAAAATTCCACTTATACGGTATGTAAGACTACCAGTAGTGTCATTTAGGGTGAACATAAATGTTCCCTTACTATTGCAAAATAACGAATTTTCGTGGGGGTTTAATTTTTTCATCGTTTTCAAGGTACAATTGAACTTTGGTATCTAACACTGATATCTCGAATACCACGGATATGTCGAACTGATTTGGAAGTCCCAACCACTTATTCTTAAAGAATTTTACCCTCGATATCTTGAATCCTCCGATATCCTCCGATATCTCAAAGTTTTTTCTCAGTCCCACCGAGTTCGAGATAACAAGGTTTGACTGTATGTGGAGACCCACAAATTCATATCCTCCATGAAATGTAAAATTTCTTATGCATAACTACTCATTAATTCTTCATCCACGAAATCAAATCCCACGAACCCATAGATTTTCCTTATATATGTACCACGAAAATTTGACACCAAGAAAATGTGATTTTACAGTACCTAAAAATAACTCAAAAGGAAATTAGATTTATATATTTACATAGATTTTTTTTTCCTTCAGGTTCAGGTCCAGGTACCTGCCCAACAGACCCAACCAACTACTCTCGGCAATTCCTTCATTGATAACAACATAGGAATAGAAGATCTCAGTGCTTCATTCAGAACCATATACAAAAACATGTTTGAAACCAATCCAGCAGGTCTGTCAAACATCATATGTTTGTTGTATGCATATATTAGTTGATTATGATGATCAGTATTTGTATACTTTTCTTCTGAGCAAGATATTTTCACAAAGAATGCAATCAATGTCATGGGAAAAAGTGAGATTTTAAAACAGTAAATGTATGGCAACGTTGTTTTGAGTTCTTTCAGAGAAGTTTCAGTTTCTGAAAACCAAAATGAAAACCTTCATTTTAATTTTACAGGCTCTGCAAACATTTCTCAAGAGTTTTGTTGATTAGATTCTGTGAATTATTTTGTAGGACCAACCCCCAGTTTACCTGGCACAGACTGGTTACAGAATGTGGAGACATTAAAAGAAAGTCTCAGACTCGCTGGTTCAGGCAGCATAGACCTGAACAGTGTAGATATGCAACAATTCCAAGGTATGGTAAAGGGTATTCTGGAAATTAAAAAAAAAAAAATAGAATGTGACTGTTGAAGATACTGTGAATCACTTTTTATTTGCAAAATTTTGAAGACAGTCTAGTTGCCAAATTTCACCCTTGTGATATTTTTTATTACTAAGGCCAACATTTTTTTATTAAATGATTTACGGGATTTTTTTTTTTTTAAATTGGGTCCGGGGGGGATAAATAAAAATAAAAAATTGGAAAAAGTGTCTGATTTTTTTATTTTCATTTATTTGATAAAAATTGCCATATATACGGTGTGGAGCTTAAAATATGATAACCGCAACACAAAAATTAAAGTAGACTATTAAACCCCTATGAGAAATGGGGGAAATCTAAGGAATTTCTTCATGTTCTTATCAAAATATTAATCATGACCACAACAAGATCACCAAAGAAAAAAGTTTAAAATGAGAACCTCACTTTTCTCAAAGTACTGAAAAAATCATGAACCAACAAATCAAAAATGGAAAATATTGTTATGAAGAGAATCTCAATATAAAACCCAGAATCATGAATTAAACCTGTATTTTACAATACAGCATATGTTTATACATATTAACAAACATCTGAAAGCTTGACAGTATTAACACATTAAATACCGTTTTGTTTGCAGTGTCTGTTTATATCTACTCTACAACTATTTTTAAACACACATCAAAATACTTATGAATTTCTACTCTGTACAGCGCTGCATATGATCTTTTTAAAATGTTACAAGTTTGAAAACATTTCTTGGATATATATGCAAATTAGATACGTCAAATTTTATTCTTCACAAATTTCAAACGTATATTTTTAATTTCCTTTCTTTTATCACGTTCATCAAAGGTATCAGAATTGTAAAAGAGAACTACTGTATATGGTACCCACAGCGAAAGTGGCAGTCTTGTCAACGTATCCTCTGATAAAATTAGGCTGATCATTTCTTTTATTTCTTTTTAACTCCAACTTAACTTCGTCATCGGACATACTCCAATTGATTTTCCTGTTAGTTATGGTTGACTTGGAAAAACTATCGTGTATAAGGACAAAGTATTCTCAACTTTTGTAAAAGTAAACATTTCTGCATCCATGTTGGCACGTTTTTATACACTTCCGAAACAATTGATAACAGACGTAAACTGATTGGATGATAATAATGATGATCCCGTAAATCATTTAATAAAAAAATGTTGGCCTCAAGAATAAGCAGAATTCGTGAACAATTATTCTCTGTCATAAATACAATATGATTTTATGTTGTTTTGAAAATTCGGTGATCTATTGTACTCTACTTGTAATAGACTTGTGAACAGTTGTAATGCCAGCATACATATACATATACTTCTTGCAATTGCAAGGATTTGTTTATCCTGAAATGATATACAAATGCACATACATGTCAGTGCACTTTAAAGCATGGAATCTTTTCACAACTTTGATTTACCTACTGCTATTATAAAAGGAATCAGGCATGAGGTTAGAAAGTTGCTAATGGTTTAAAAATGATACAAGTTTTGAATTTTAACAGGTCTGATGGACACAATGAAGCAAGCAGACCATTCCAATTGGTGTTTGAACCAGGAACAGTTTGCTGACCTAGCATCTTCTCTCAGCACATTCTTCAACCAGTCAGGTCTCCTCCCTACAATCACCCCACCCACCACCACAAGTAAGGACTCTTTAGGATTGATGGCAAATATTATATCATGTAAATGGTCCTGCATTAAGATGTTGATGTCTTATAGTAATCACATTGCTTATCTGCAATCTGTCAACACTTTTATGTAACACAATAATTTGAATACTTTTCACCTTTAAGGTACAGACATATATTTACTTTAGGGTACAGACATATATTTACTACATACAGATAAACTTTGATACATGTATCTCACCTTCTGATATGTCGACAACCTGGGATATGTCGACATTGGTCTGTGGTTCCAGCAGTATTTATTAAATAGATGATTTGCATAAACTTGCATACATTGACTACTCTGCTTATCTGGTTGTACATGTATATTCACAGTCCCAAGAGCAAATTCACTCTCATGTACCTGGTACATGTATGTGTTAACATTGGGGCAGTTTTTTGCTCTGCTAAACCTATTTGTCAGATGGTCGCTTGTCAAGCATGGACAACTCTGTGTATCTTGACATCGCAAGAAATTCACACCTTTCAATCTATGTTTTGATTGCACATGCATTGCCTTATCAATTCTATTGACTTTGCCTGTAAATGAAGTCCAAACATACTGGGACATTGATGAGACATTAATTGCATATTAACAGCTTGGTTAATATCATTGATAAATCCACATTTCTGTGTAAATTTACAGACATGTTTTAACCTAGATGTAGAAATATGTAGAAACCTATCAAAAATTTGATTTGGAAAAGACAACTACATTGTTAACGGCAATAAATAACAAACACATGAATTTTTTAGAGGTTTCTACGTCTGTAAATTTACACAGAAACATGGATATATCAATATTACCCAAGCTGTTAATAAGCAATTAATGTCTTCCAGTTCAAATATATTGGATGCTGTATTTAGCTCACCTCAATGATGTTGGGGGAGCTTATGTAATACAGTTGGCATCCCAGGTCAAAGTTTTTGGAGCAGATTTCTTTTGAAGTACTTCTATGGCCTATATCAATCAGAGGTGCATGGTGGATGCTTCTAGTGTGTTTCATTGTACTAGTCAAGATTTCAGATGCTGAATTTAAGCTTAAGAATGACCAGGTTAATGTTTTTGGAGAAGGTCAAAGTTTTTGGAGCAGATCTCATTTCAAAGTAACTGTAAGTCCTATGTTGACTAAACTTGCATGGATGATACATCTAAGGAAGCACACTACTGGACTTGCTTCGGATGCTGGATCTGACCTAAATTTTCCAGATGAGTGACCAGGTTAATGTTTTTGGAGCATGTGCATTGCCAAGAAACTATAGGGCCTATCTGAACCAAACTTGCATGGATGATGCATCAAGGGACAAATACTCCCAAACTTGCTTCAGATGTTGGATTTGACTTACATGTACATTTTCTGGATGAGTGACTAGTTTAAAGTTTTTAGGTAAGTCCATTCCAAAGTAACTGCAAGCCCTATCAGACCAAAATTGCATAAATGTTGCATCTAGGGATGAACACTACTAGACAGGGATGGGGTCAATTACTTTAAAAAGTAATTAATTAAATTACAATTACTTTGACTTTTTCTTCAATTAAATTACAATTAAATTACAGGCTTTCTAAGACATGTAATTAATTAAATTATAATTACTTTGCAAAAGTAATTAATTAAATTACAAATTACATTTTTTATTTTTTTTTTTGAAAATTTTTATAATCCTTGTCAATGAATTTACAGAACATCATTTATTTGTATATAAGCTCAGCCTCTGCACAAACAGTACAAGAAATAATATGCTATAGGCATTGTGTATCATTGTGGTTTAATTTATAACATTTATTTACAAAACAATAAGAATCTCTTAAAGAACTATCCGAGATCAGTTTGATGCAGTTTCCACCACACAAAACCTACATGTCCACAAATTGCATGGATTTATGATATTTGATTAAAAGTGAGTACAGTGCAGGGAACTAATTTTGTTACATAAACCAGCATCAGCATAAGCATTAGTAGCATCAGGATCGAGCTAGCATCAGCATCAGCATTAAAAAAAAACAGCACTAGATTATTAGTTTAGTGTGGGACTTTGCCTTACTTAAAGACCACATTCGTTGAGGTGAGCTCTGTAATCTCTGATTACCTATGTTTGTTTTAATCAAGATAGTGGATAACAACCAACTTCCCGTTCATTTGGACAAGGTCACTTGGTTTGATTTGTTATAACTTAAATTCTTGGTTAAAAGTAATGTTTTCTTGACAAGATCACTTTACGTCAGAGTTGTGTAATTCATAAGGCCTCGGTAAAATTCTAAAAGACAAAACTTTGTATAGGGGGAGTATTGGGAGGCACAAAAGTTCTCAGGACCAAGATGTCTGTTTTGATTCTAAGCCATGGTTGTTTTGATAAGGTCAAAGACACACACCTCAATGTTCTTAGGGCTATGACTCTTTTTAATTCAAGGGCTTTGGATGATCATATTTTCCATATTTAACACAAATTTGCTCATGACCAGAATTGTTAAAACCTTCAACCAATTAACAGATATACTTGCGTATAAGTCAGATTTTTAAAATTGTTAATAAAAGATGAAATATCAATCACAAAATACTTTGAAACACTTGTAAATACATGTACATACTTTGAAACACTTGTAAATACATGTAACTTGTAAATACATGTACATACAGTAGAGTATTAATGTGAAATTGGCTACAGATTCTGGCAAAAACCCAGCGACTTATAAGCAGGTTAATGGCATATTCCTCCAAAATATTGTGAAAAAATACAACCAACTTATAAGTGAACCAATTTATAGGCAGTACATCTCAACAAGATTTAGGCTATAGAATTTGTGCAATTTTTAAGCAAGATGGCACAGAGTTTTTAAAACTATTTTAAAAGTATGCCATTTGCCTTGCGGTGAATATAATCATAAGACAGTTCTTGTTTTGAAATGTTAATCCTTATTATTACAGCTAACACTGGTTATTCATCAACAAGTACTAGCACTTTGACAACATTGAGCAACAACACATCTCATCTTACCGTCCCCCAATCTTCCGTTAGCCCCTCCCTGAGCCCCACATCACCAGTAAGTTTTACAGTATTCATTTGTGTATAAGATATATTAGCTATCATTTTATATGTTATGAATTTAACAAAATTGACAATTTGTTGCAGTTAGGAAATATTTTCAATTGTTCTTTTTGAAAAGATAAATGAATATCATTGCACATGTAAATGATTTTTAAAAAAAATCATGTACTTGTAAGCATTTTTCTTCATGAGAAGTTTAGTGGCAAATGTCAAAAAATGACCAAAAGGTTCTTTTCAAATTGAAAAGTTGGCAATGAAAGATTTTTGTTAAAGAAAAGCTAGATATGTACATTCATAAAAAGTAGAGGGAAGCTGAATTATTTATACATGTCTGTTGTTTTAGAGTGGATTTAGTCCACAACCAACCCAAAATGTTATTGTTCAACCCACACAAACTGCTTCATACATCTTGAATGATGTGGAAGATGACGATGAAGAATTCAATTGGGAGAGGATTTTATAGTCGTCAATTAGCAGCAACGTTCATTATCATTCATCACCATGGCAACTATACTGGACCGAGCAATCCAGTTTACTGCAACTTTGATAGTTATTTTGTGGCGAGTGAATGTGTGCAAGTGGAAAGTTATTATATTGCGATATTCTTCATTTGGTGAAGTTAAATGCTTATATTATAAACTGTTACATAGATTTCAAGACAACAATCCCACTGTTGGCATGCTGTACTTTGTGTAGCGAATACTCATCATTGCGTTTACCTAACATTTGGCAATGTATTGTGTTTCTAAAGTGTCTTAAATCCCTATTTATTTTCTTGTGATCTTACCATGCTGATCAGATCCAGTTTACAGTATTATTTACATTTTATCAATGGTCTGTTTGTATGTTTCATGTTTCCTTCTTCAAAAAGGTATGTGTTTAAAAAAAAAATCCTGTTTCACATGAAATTGACAATCATACGTTGGTAGAAAATAATTGATCATGGCATGGTCCCATTTTCATGGTAAAATTTCTTTTAATTAGTTATTGAGTTTGCTTGAGCTTGATCACTATTGTAAAAAATGCGATTTACCTTTTTGTGATTTTTTAATCATATTTCTCACCTGATCCTATGGCAATATTGTTATTTTATATATAATTATTATATTTTATTTTGAGAGTTGTTGTTAGACCATTTTATACATTGTTTGATGCAGGGTGTTTTGTTTTTTTTTTCTTTTTCCATTGTGTATCTGCTGTTGACTTTTTATTTATGGAACTGCAGGCTCAGATTTTTCCCTAGTCTTTGCAATTTTAATGAAATCCCATGGTTTCTCTATTTCATCACGACAGCACTTTACTTTTAAAAGAATAAATGTATAACAGTTTAGTTTGATTTGGAAATCCTTTTTGTCCCATCAATTTTACTTTTATTATAAATGTTAAAAAAAATGTTTTCATAAATTTCCAGTTGAGGAAAACACTTGAATAAATTAAAATTCCATATTAAAGCACTTTTGTTCAAGTATCTAAACCTCAACTAGTGAGAAAAATATACCTTATCAATTTAAAATTGCTTCTACAGAGCAGAATTAAGTTGACATTTTCTGATTCTTGTTAATAATATAAATGTGTAAATTATTCATACTGATTCAATTTAATGCCATTAATGGTGTCTGTCAACATTGAAATGGTACTCCAACAATATTTGATAATTTGAAATTTTCTGTTTAATGTCTACTGAAAATAATTTTTCAGAATCTAGCAATTTTAAACGTGGAATGTGAAACTAAAAAAAAAAAAAAAATAAGTGGAAAGATTATAAGCCATGTTTTACTTAATCAGTAAGGAAGAACCCCTCTTGAATATGTGTACACATTTCTTGACTTTGAAAATCAAATTAGTGCTAATTTATATGTGTATTGTTTCTTGCTCAGTAGTTCAGATTTTACAGACCTTAACATATTGTTGAGGACTAGATTGCACAATTACATGTATTTTATTCCTGTACAAATCTTTCTTAGTGAACCATGTTAGTTTTAATCTTTTGATCTTCTTACCTGGACAACGGAATTGTCAGGTAATAAGTTTCTCATATTTCATTCACTGGAATGCTAGAGGACTTTCATCTTATGATATTCATTTTTAATAGATTGTAGTGAGATTCATACATGTACATGTATATTGTATGATAAAGAAAAAATCAGCTTCACAACATGTGGTAAATGTTCCTGTATCTTTATTTGAAATGTGGGTATATATAATCTGCAAAACTTATAGAAACATTAAGTATGATGTAGGTATTTACCGGTAGTGATAACAAAAAATGTGCAATGTGTTTCTACTGTATATAGCTTCAGATCTGTACATGCTTGTGTATAATTTCTTGCTTGCTGTGTCAGTTTCGTTTACCTCTCTTCCTTATAACAATTTTTCGGAGAGTTTTAGGTGTTTGCTTTAGTTTTAGGATGCATGTTTACCCTTTAAGGAGAGTGATTGGCAGCTTTTCAAAGTATATGGTAGAAATAGTAATGTCCAAAAACTAGCTATAGAATTGATGAGAACAGTTATCATTTTTTCTTAGTGCAGCATGTATATGCTGGAAATCTGAATAAATTAATAATAACATCTGAGGTGACTGAGAATATGATTATGCAATACATGTTCTTTAGAATTATACCATCTATTGATTTTGTTATCAAAATTTGTTTTTTAATCATGTTCAGAAATGCCTTTATTGAATTAAAAAATATTTTTCTAGCTTTCTGTAAGTAATGTTTATGATGCTGTAAATATAGACTGTTTTAAGTTGGTTATTGCTTTTTAGAAACTTTATTCAGGTTAATGACCGTCCATATCATATATACTTTTCTTTTGAGAGGCATTTGCTGTGTATCGTGTTACATGTTCTTATCAAGTTATAAGTTTATGCACCAAGAATCACTTTCAGAAATGAGTGAAATACTGAATAAATTGCTTTTAATTTGGAAAACCCACTTTAAACCACATGTAGTAATTCACTTACACATTTGTATTTTTCTAAGTACTACTCCTTTCATTATAAAGAAGTAAGGAAAATGCATTTTATAATGTCAAATATTAATTTAATTCAGCAGTTCATTTTTCCAAATGTACATCTGAATACCAAGAAATTATCACAGAAAAATTGTAGATTATAACTAACAAAGTTGTTTCTCTGTAGTTTTTTCATGACTATGCATTTTGTAAATGATTTTACTAATGTTTTGATAACAATATGTCAATGATAAGAAGCAAATCAGTTATTCCACATGAATCACAATTATTGCATGTCGTGTCTGTCGGAGTGTTTAAGGAATAGATTAGTTCTATTCTTTTATTGCAAATGAGTTGTCATTGCAACTTTTCATCAATAAAATTGTTGAATATCAAGTTATTTAAAAAAAAAAAGCTTTTTTTCTTTCTTTCCTGTTTGTTAAGTTACTGTGGACTGCATGATGGCCAGATTATTTCATGTGAAGAGGAGGATCATAGGTGTCCTACCTTTCACGTGTCATTTAGTTTTTCAAAGTGTCATTGCCTAGTGACCTTGACGTGAATTACAAGGGTTTGATCAAGACCAAAAGTGGCTACATAGGGTTTGATCAAGACCAAAAGTGGCTACATAGCACCACAATCTTAAATGATATGCAAGCTTAAGTCTCTAAAGGGGAAAGCTAGTATAAATAATTGATGCCATGTACTAATCAAACATGCCACTTCACATATGTACAAACATTTTTGTGGATGAGTGTACTCTTTAGGAGGAATGCCACACCAAAATTTTATTTCATAGACCTTTAAGACATCCCCGATAAGTAGTGGTTTCAGCATTAAAAGGCCAATATTAGCTCATAATTATTTAATAACAGGGCTAGAAATAATTATTTTTGTTTACTGGTCACTCGGGCTATTGCCTTAAATTTTTACTGGTCATCTTAGTACTTTCACTGTCCCAATGGGCTAGTAGATTTTAAAAAGACTGGCCCAAAACCTTAATAATACATGTAATAGTAATATTTTTTTATATTGTGATACTTAGAAGTACAATTTAACAAAACAAGAAAACAGCAGAAGTTGGGACACACAACCCTGTCAAGTTAACTAGCCCGACTGTGAATGAATTTTATTATGCATAAAAAAAATGCTAACCCAAAGGGCACATGCCTTCTGCATGTACTAGCCCAGATTGAAAATTCACTGGCCCCAGACCAGCGGGCCATCAATTATTTCGAGCCCTGAATAAGAATTTTTTTCCTATTTTTCATAGAAAATGAAAAAAAGTTTTATTTGCCAATAATATGCTTTAGGGTTAAAAATTTGCTGTTAATAAATGCATAATATGAATGTCTAATAAAATGTTAATAAAGGCTGGATAGACATTTTAATTTTTTAAATAAAAAAATATTTATGAAAATAAAACAGATAATTTGTGAATATTATTAAAACCTATGGTTAAAATCTTCATAAAACTAGTCACAACTAGGGAGAATATGTTAGGCAATCATATTTTAAAAAGAAATTGAAATGAAATTGCAAAAGAGAGAAATTAATTTTTAAATTTTGGTTCTCTGAGGATGCTTCCATATAAATATGACCAATCAAGGCTTTGCTGTTGTAGAGAAGATTTTTCCTATGTATTCCTATGTAAAACTTTGATCACCCATTGTGGCCCCTCCCTATACCTGGGGGTCATGATTTGAACAAACTGGGATCTACTCTACCTAAGGATGATGGTTCCACATAAGTTTCAATTTTTTGGGGCTCAGTGGTTCTTGACAAGGAAGATTTTTAAAAGATGTCATTAATTTTTCACTAATTTGTAATAATTTCCCCTTGGAAGAAGGTGTGGCCCTTCATTTGAATAAGCTTGAATCCCCTCTTATCTATGAGGATACTTTGTAGCAAGTTTGGTTGAAAATGGCCCAGTGGGTCTTGAGAAGAAGTTGAAAATGTGAAAAAGTTTACAGATAGACGGACGCTGGACAAAATGTGATCAGAAAAGCTCATTTGAGCCTTCGGCTCAGGTGAGCTAAAAATCTCTGACCCTCCTTCCAAGCAATTTTTGAGATTTTGCATGTTTACTCTGTGACAGACACTTAAGAATATACCGTAAATCAAATAGTATTTTCTGACTTACACTTTTTTAATTTAATCACATCCTATTATATTTTTAAGAATAATTCACAATAAAATAATTTATAATGAACACTCCTCTCTAAGGTTTTCACTGGTAATAAAACTTTTTACACTCTTAAAAAAAAAATTTTCTGCCCAGATGAGAAAAATCTGCCCAAATAAATTATAATCTGCTAAAATGACAATTACTGGCTGATACACACTTCCACAAAAATTTCATATAAAATCGGAAATCATTAAATATTTCTATTTAATTTTAAATATTGTACTTTTCACTCTGGCTGTTAATTATTGGGAAAGTTCTTTTTTTTTTAATAATCTGAATGTGACAGACACAAGGAACAGACTAAATTTATATTCATCACTTCTCCCTATTATTTGTGGATCTGGCCAACAGACAAGCATGTCCAAATACATGCGAATAAAGAGCTGAGCAGATCAGGTGATTTGGGGGAAATGCTTTACATAGGAATGTTTGCATATTAATATAATGAACTGTGGCCCTGTTGTTCTTGAGAAAAAAAAAATTAATTATTTTCCCCTTATACAAGTTGAAAATGCAAAGTTTACAAAAACCATGCACACAAAAGAGGGACATCACACACTCTTCCACCAGAAAAAAGAATCTTATGATGTCCAATTCCACACCTCTTGAATACATGATGTCACGCACAAAATATAATAGACTATTATTGTATATCTGATAGTTTTAAAATCTTTACTTCGCAATATAAAAATTTACATATTCTCCTGACATTGGATACATGTACAATAGTGCCTATTTCCAATGTCTGTTCTGTAATGGCATCTTTGATACAGTATGTACAATAACAAAATTCTCTACTAGTGTTCATAACTCACTCCTTCAGGATAATGGGGTTGTATCTGCCTCCACAAAACTTCATTTAAAACATCAATACGTCTAACATCTGCATATCATCATACATCTTCACATGAATTTTGATTTTTCTAACAAAACTTTTCATTTATAGATAAATCAGAACATCTATCAAAAGTACAAAAAAATCTCAGGACAAATAAATATAAGAAACATGAATTCATTACCTTTGATAATAATATAAATTCATACAGTACACAGCACAATTAACTCAGTTATGTATTTCACATAGTAACTTTTAATAAGAATACAAGAGGCCCAAGGGCCTTAACAGTCACCTGAGTATAATACAACAATTTAGAAGTTAAATACACTGATAGACGAAGCTTTGTTGCCCTAAAGCAAGAGAAGTAGGAAGATCAGGATCAACAAAATAATTAGTCTTAAGTATTCATGCAGTATCAACTCATAAATTAAGTTCTAATCTGTCCCCCACTTAACACTATCACCATGCAGACTATTAAAAAACTTTTAGTGCTTGTGTACTATTTTAAACCCATATTAAGACCTCTAGCATTGACCTCTCTTATGGTCTTTGAAGAACTTTTAATAAGATAAGTTATTTTTGTCTCATTTTTATTTATCTATTACTTACAGGTCTACCTGATTATTAAAACTAAGAGAGTACTTTTTGAATTATACGATAAACATTCTTGCATAATTATCTTATTCTATTAACCTTTCAAATACATTATTTACAGTGATTAATTATCAAAGGTGAATGGAGAAGGGGAATAACTTCTCTCAGTAGAATACAAATTAATAGAGCCCTGCCCAGTACCAGAATGCTTAGACAAATGGTCCAGATGTTCAAAAATCTGATAGAAATACGCTTACTTATATCATTTAAACTTTTACTCAGTTTGCTTCCAATATGCCCAGAAGCAGAGAAGAATTTCACAGGTACAATGCATTTTCACTACAGATTCAACAAAGCCTTACCCTAACACCAGAACCCAAGACCAAGGGTCAAGAAATTTACAAATTTGGAAGAGTTACCCTCATCATCATAACTATGGACTTCAAAGAATTAACACTTTTCCACTATATTATCAAAAGCCCCCCCCCCCCCCCCCCCACCTCGTTATGCCAGAACCCCTGACCCTAGGACCACAAGATTTAAAAATTCTGTTCGAAGCTCCCATTTTCATCATAGCTAAGCAATTTATTTATCAGCTCAACACTAAGGAGCAGACAGGAGATTAATTAATGAATTAATTCTTTTATCACTATATAATCAATAGAGCCCCCCCCCCCCCCTCCTCAAGAACCCCAAAAATTGAGGCCATATATTTAAAAATTTTGGAAGAGGCATCCTTGCCTATCATAATCATGCACTTAATTTGTTTAAATAATCTCCAGTAGCAGAGAAGAAGATTTTCAAAGAATCAATGCATTGTCACTATATAGTCAATAGAGCCCTGCCCTAACAGCAGAACCCCTGACCCTGGGGCCATGAAATTCACAATTTTTGAAAAGGCATCCTTATGCATCATAACCATGCACTTCGTTTGTTTAAATAATCTCCAGTAGCAGAGAAGAAGATTTTCAAAGAATCAATGCATTTTCACTATATAATCAATAGAGCCCCACCCTAACACCAGAACCCCTGACCCTGGCGCCATGAAATTCACAAAGTTTGAAAAGGCATCCTTATGCATCATAACCATGCACTTAGTTTGTTTAAATAATCTCCAGTAGCAGAGAAGAAGATTTTCAAAGAATTAATGCATTTTCACTATATAATCAATAGAGCCCCACCCTAACACCAGTACCCCTGTCCCAGGGGCCATGGCTTTCACAATTCTGGAAGAGGCCCACCTCCTCATCATTACTATGTACTTAGTTTAACACCTTAATGCCCAGGAGCAGAGGAGAAGATTTTCAAAGAATTAATGCTTTTTCACTATATAATCTATAGAGCCCCACCCTAACACCAGAACCCCTGACCCTGGGGCCATGAATTTCACAATTTTGAAAGAGGCATTCTTGCTGATCATAACTATGTACTTGGTTACTTTATTAAATATCCAGGAGCAGAGAAGAAGATTTTCAAAGAATTAATGCTTTTTCACTATATAATCTATAGAGCCCCGCCCTAACCCCTGACCCTGGGGCCATGAAATTCACAATTTTTGAAAAGGCACTCCTGCTCTTCATAACTATGTACTTAGTTACTTTATTTAATACCCAGGAGCAGAGAAGAAGATTGCAAAGAAATAATGCACTTTCACTATATGATCTATATAGCCCCACCCTGGGGCCATGAATTTCACAATTTTGGTAGAGGACTCAATGCTTATTACAATGATACCAACAGTTTGACTGCTTGATGCCCAGGAGTAAAGAAGAAGATTTTTAAAGGTTGCATTATTTTTGGTGGTTTTAGCCCCACCCCTCAGGCCCCAGGGGGGCAGGGACCATGAAATTCACAATTTTTGTTCCCCTTCACCCATAAATGCTATATGCCAAATTTGGTTGAAATTGGTTAAGCGGTTTCAGAGAAGAAGCTAAAAATGTTCAAATATTAATTCACGACGCACGCCGACGGACGAGAACGGATAGCAATTAATAGGTCACCTGAGTGACTCTGGTGACCTAATAAATTCAAAAATACACAGCACAATCAACTCTGTCATTTATTTTACTTAATCTTTTATAAATAAAAAAATATAAATTCATACATTTTATATTTATATATATTTATATTTAATATTTTATTTCATACATGTATTTTACATGATAACAAAAATATAAATTCATACTGTACACAGCATAATCAACTCAGTTATGTTTTTTTAAATAACTTTTAATAAAAATATAGATTCATAGATATACACAGCAAAATCAACTCAGTTATGTATCCTACATAACCTTTACTAAAAGTATAAATTCATACTGTCCACAGCATAATCAACTCAGTTGTGTATCTTACATAACCTTTAATAAAGATATAAATTCATACTGTACACAGCATAATCAACTCTGCAGTTATGTTTTTACATAACTTTTAATAAAAATATAAATTCATAGATATACACAGCATAATCAACTCAGTTATGTATCCTACATAACCTTTAATAAAAATATAAATTCATAATGTACACAGCATAATCAACTCAGTTATGTTTTTTTTTTTTAACATAACCTTTAATAAAAATATATATATATTTATATATACGAGTATATGTAGCATAATAACTTGGTGTTTTTTTTTTGTTTTTTTTTTTTTTTTACATAACCTTTAATAAAAATATAAATTCATATGTATACACAGCATAATAATCAACACAGCTATGTATTTCAAATAACTTTTATAAATAAAAATATAAATTCAAACATATACACAGCACAATCCTCAGTAATATATTTAAAAAATACCTTTATCAACTTGATAATCATCTAATTACACTAGTCTATACAAGAAAACACATTTCTTTTCATTGACAAGTACTCAAATGCATACACAATGTGGCCATTTCTATAAATGAAGACTTTTCACTGACAAGTACATGTACTTATACACAATGTGGCCATTAACAATCATCCAGAACTTTTTAAAAAAAATTCTCAAAATCTTTATCAAACAAAGATAATAGATTCTGTAGACATTGCACATGAAATGTGAAGATAATGGACAACAATCATGCTCAAAAAAGTCTAATTAAACATACAAACCATGAGAAGAGCAAATGTGGACGTCTGAAAACAGAGGGGGATCAGGTGTCATGGAGTAGTGAGCATCCCCCCATCCACCAGTCACACCCTCTGTGTGCCCCTTATATCATAATAATTACTATCATTATAATCATAATAAGTATATTGGCATTTACTCCTTTCCAGATTTTTGACATTTAAAAAAAAAAGAAATAAATACAAAAAATTAAAAAAAAAAATCAAAACACTTTTACATTTGTCTTTCAGATCAATTTATATTTCATTATACAAACATAATCCATACTAAACTTAGACACAGTTGAATACTTAACTGTGATTTACACAAACAAAATATTATCAATAGTTTTTTATGTTCATGTGGCAAGTACGAAGATGTATTTTTAGATTTTGGCAAATTTCAGTTGTCAGGTGATGCCTCAATAGTTTCATTCACAGGGATTTGATTGTCTGGCTCTCCACTGTCATCCTTTAAATCAACAGATAGATGTCCTATGTCATCATTTGGCTCAGTACAATACTGAGGGGAACCAACCTGAATCGAAGTTGAACTACTTGTTGGAGGGATGTGAAGACTATGATACTCATCAGCAGCCTCCCCAAGATTTTGATTAAGATTGGACAATTCCTCATCTGTTGTGGCTTTCCCTTCCTCATAATTCTTACAAGCATGTGAGGGTTCCTTCCTTTTCATAAGGATTACAATGATAATTATGATAGCTGTAGTTAACATTATGCTTAAAATACTTATCACTATGTAATTCACAGTACTGTTTTCTGTGCATTGTGTATTCTTTGTATTTTGGTTCCCTTTGCCTGAAATTTTGGGATCTTCTCCATTCTTTGCCTCTTGTTTCCCAATGCATGCTTCAAGTTCCTCTTCTAGGGTTTGCTGATGTCTGTAAGAACTCTCTGAGGATGGGATGCCTCCATTCTTATAAAAACAATCCCTATATTTGATGCTGTCCCTTGAATTATACTTTCCAGGACATGGTACATCATAATCTTTGCAATATCCATATGTATGTTCCTGCAATGTTCCCAATGCCAATCCAGAATTATACTCCACACAGTATCCTGCAACTTCAATATTTTTAAAGCAACCAATCCATGTCTGATTTCCCCATTCAGTGACGACCAAATGGGGTTCGAGTTCACTGCAGGTAGAGGTACAATTGGTTCTGTACTCTTCCAGACTGTCAGGTATGTAAAAAACCTGTTTTACGAGAAATCCTTTGCATTCAGATGGGCCATTGACTCTTTCCACAGAAACAAAGATTAAAAAAAGCATCATGGTAACAGGCAGCCCCATACCTCTGTAAAAAATAGGAAAACTATAATAATTAAAAAAAGAAAAAAAAAAATAGGCTGCTTGGCAAAATTCGCTTCAATGTTTGACTTTTGCAGCGACTCTTTGCGATTTGTCTTCAACTATTACCTTCTTCAACTTGCAGTTGACACTGTTAAACTGTTAAATGACAACGTGATTTTTTCTATATTATTAACAACTCGCTGGATCGAAGAAGTTTCTAGAAATGTCAGCTTTCTGGTGCAGTTGGTTTAGATTTCATAGCCCTCGTTTCGGAAATTTATTTTGTAAGTATTTGTTGGTATTTCAGTCTGATAATTCTACTTACCTTATGTTTTCAGTTGTTTCTTACGTAAAACCCCTTTATTATTTGTCTTTTATAAGTTAGGACGTGTGTTGACATTCCACATGTTTTACCATGTTTACTTTTTAAAGTAAAACAGGAAGTGTCATCCATGTTGGGAGTCTTTCCATAGTACTTTTGGTAGCTGTGTTCTGATTGGTTAACTTAGCTGTAGAATCTTTGATGTAGTTTTCTTCACTTGGGTTGGGGACACAACCTCATGGTTAGTTCCTCTTTACTGTGCTAAGAAAACCTCATGGTTTATGAGCACTATTTGATTAGTACCTTAGAGTGCTAAGAAAACCTCATAGTTTAACAGTACTCTAGGTCTTAGCTAGCTTTAGTTTCACGTTTTTCACAAGTTCTAGGTTTTTGTTAGGAAACAGTTAGGATGTAGGTTTTATAGAGTTAAGGAGATGGGCGAACATAGCATGCAGAAAACCTATAGCTTCAGATATATCAAAATCATGTTCAGTTTGTGAATTTAGTATTTAGAGTAAAGTTCTCAGTATTGAAATTTATGAAATTATGATAAACAAAACATTTCTGAGGAAAATTTTCTCAGCAAAATTTATTCTTTTATTAAAAAAATTAATGTGGACCAGGTGTTCGTGGGGTTCGAACCATAGCAATAAAAATCCTAAGTATCATTTTCTTTCCAGAATAGCACGCTAACCACTAGACTACACAAGTCCTGATGAAGGGTGGCATTTAAATCATGTTTGTGATATGACCCTTGACTTAATGGACTTCAAGTATTTCTCGAAAAGATGCGAATGTTATGTCATAAAAGTATATTTTTAAGGTATAGTGGGTCATTGCTCCATATTTTTGGTAATCAAAAAATGTATATTTTTATGCAAACTTTGAGGATTAACTTTCAAAAAGGTGGAGCGAAGACCCACTCATATCGAAAAATAGTGTTATAGTACGAGAAAATGACTCTTTTTGCCCGCTTTAGTGTGTGTCTAATATTTCACAGGCAAATAATTTCAATCTTTGAGGGATTTTTGCAAATTGTAGAGATTTTACATAAAGTATATTTTAATATTAGACAACATGTCAAAGAAAATTTTGATATAATTAAAATTTATTTTTTCATCTTCATGTTTGTCACACTGTAGGCTTATCGCTCGTCATGTTCACCCATCTCCTTTAGTTTTCCCCTTTCCAAGTCCAGCCTGGTCTAGGGATTTGTAGATAACAGGTATAATTTCTAGAACCACTATTTATTATTTATTTTTGGTGTTGTTTATTTTCTGGGTTAGATATTTTTTTTTGAGTCCAGATTTAGCTTTATTATTTCAAGTTCAACTATAGAGTGTTGATTAGTAGAGTTCATATTGGGTGATGTAGCTCATTTTCCTGACATTTTCCAGCTCATTGGCATTTTCAGTTGTGTATATTTTTGCCCATTTTATTTTCATAAGTATGGAGGCTCAGTAGGGACATAAATATTTTTATTTAAGCATCTTTCATTTTTTTCAAAGGATTTCCACATTCCTCCCATTTTTCCTAATCAACTTTTCACAAACTTCTTATTTATTTATTGAGATTATTGTTATTCACTTGCCAAATTAAATTATATTTTTGATAAAACTATCTATTCCTGTGCAATTTTGAAAGACTTTATTCTCTGTTAAATTTTGATTATTATTTATTATTTGTTATCATTTACAAAGGTTAATTCTCACTTTATTAAATTTATAAAACTTACAACTGTGTTTTCATTTAGCGTTGATCATAGTTCAGATATCCCCTTACCTGGGTTGACAAATTATACATAACTGGAGGTAGTTACTGCTTTAAGCCAAGTTGGCTAGTAACTTTGTTAAGTTATTCATTAAAGAGTTCTACTTCCGGTTACATAATTTTTGGTGCCGCGTGACCAGGATATCTGAATAGAAACCATGACGTCGCTAAATTCAGGTTCTGATAGCATAGGAAGAGCTACATCAACCCCTAGAGTTGATAGATTAAGTTCTAGTCAAGGTGCTAGAAGTAAGCTTATGACAAGAGTCAATCAGCCCTCTTTGTCCTCTCCTGTGAGTGAGATTATGATGCATGAGAGTGTATTAGATACTAGCATGAGTTCACAGATTTCAGATTTAGAACAAGTGCTGCAGGACCTCACTACCGACTATGAGAGATGTAAGCATGAGCTGGAGAAAACACTAAGACAAAGACGTTATGTGTCATTTCCTGAAGGTAATGATAGGGGCATGAGTGAAAGTCAGAATGAAGTTGCAAGAGAGACAGTGACTCCCTTGGACAGAGTGAGAGAAACAGAAAGTTTGAGTACCTCACCTGCACAAATAAAGTTTGCACAGAATGACAGAAGTGAGAATCCGAGTAGGTCACAGACAAACATGTTTACACTGCCCAGTACCCCTGTAAACCCCAGTAGACCTAAACGTAAAGAAAAAGAACCAGACAAGTTTGATGGTAGAAATGTACCATGGCAGGATTACTTAGTTCATTTTGAACAAGTGTCTGACTGGAATAATTGGTCATATGAAGAGAAGTCTCAGCAATTAGTTATGTCATTAAGGGGGAAGGGCACAGAAAATTCTAGG